ACCTCCAGCCATAAATTGAAACTTGGTATGACCTCTGAGGTCTTCTAAGGGACCGGTTTGTTCCTGGATACTATCAGAGAGAACTGTACGAGTCTCTGCAGCAGATTCGACAAGGTACACAGACGGTGGAAGAGTGTTTTACAAATTTGGAGTTGCTCATGATGTGTGCCGACATAAGAGAGGACCAGGAAGCGACGATAGCTCGTTTTCTTCACGGTTTCAATTGAGAGATTCGACAGGAGGTGGATCTTGATCATTTGTCGATCTGGAGGACGCTTTTCACCTGGCAATGAAGATCGAAAAACAACAGAAACCCACGGACATAAGGTTTGCTTCGACTAACAAGTCCGTGACAAAGCTGGCTTCCGATTTCAATCCTCCACAAGTGCGAACTGAACCCAACAAGGCACCAACCAAGAACATCGCCCCATCTATTGTGGAAAGAACTGGAGGAATCCAGTGCTTTAAGTGTCATGGAAGGGGACACAAGGCAAATCAGTGCCCCAATTTGAAGACACTAGTAATCCGGGATGGTGAGTACCTCACCGACAAAGAGAAGAACTCAGGCGAGGAGGAAGAGGTGTATGAATAAGTTGAAATGGAGACGCCTCCTCCCCCGGGACATCTCCTAGGTGTAAATCGAAGGGAACTCACCATTGAGTTTCATTCAAACTCGGAACAGAGGGAAAACCTCTTCCATTCACGATGCAGCGTCAATGAAAAATTGCTTTCTCTTGTCATAGATGGGGGAAGCTATACGAATGTAGTAAACTCTGACATCGTCAAGAAACTCGGGCTGAGCACGAGCAAACACCCTGCACCTTACACGTTGCATTGGCTTAACGATTACGGTGCTATCAAGGTTAATAAACACGCTAAGATCAAGTTTGCAATCGGATGATATGAAGACGAGATTCAGTTTGACGTAGCTCCGATGTAAGTTGCGCACCTGTTGCTAGGACGACATTGGAAATTGGATCGAGGGGTTTGTCACAACGGTGGAACCAATTGGTACAAATTTTGGCATAGAAACCAGAAGTTTGTACTGAAACCTCTGTTGCCGGCCGAAGTTCGAGATGATCAACGTCAATTAGAGACCAGTCGACGGTGGCAAAATGGGGAATCTAGTGGAACAAGAGTTGAGGAACATAACAAAGTCAATTTTGTAGCTCCCCGGTTCATGCTCACAGGTTACAAGAGGCAGAAGACTCCTCGGCTTCAACGAATTTGTGACGGTTTGCCGGAGCAAAACAAGAGGGAGGGTCTATTGGGTGGAGCTCTGGAGAGCAATACGAACCCAACCAAAGGCACTGACACGTTCCATGATCCAAGGGGAAGCTTCATCAAAGACTGGACGACGTCAAATGTGCATGGATTCCTGGATCCAATTCGACCCCGATTTGCTCTAAAAACAAGGAACTACGAGCAAAAATCAGGTCTATTGGGTGGCTCGATTGTGAATGATTCGACACTAACGGTTGATGCATAATCATCAAACATAGTCCTAGGAAGTTATAGGAACGATCCAATTCGAATGGCGATGCATGGATAAAAAAACGCCCAATTCGGGATTGAGAATTCTGGGTTTGGGCTTTCAAAATCCGATGATGGCGGGAAACTGGGAAAAGGCGCTTCGACGATTATGGCGAAGAGTTGAGAGGGAAGGTGGGGTCAGAAATGCAATTCGAAGTTCTCCAAAGCTCGTGCAGGCGGTGAATTAGCCTGGAAATGTGTCAAATCGAAAACCCCAAATCCTCCAACGATGAACACTAACCTAGTTTCCCAGAGACTCGAGTTCGGACAAACTTTTTCAGATCCAGATTGGAACTAATTTTGTGAGCGGTTCGAGTAGAGGAAGGCAGAAGTGTTGAAAGCAACACTTTTTCAAGAGTGAGGGCCTTATATGATCTCATTTGGATCCATTTCGAGTTCTCAATTGATTGACATAGAATCCCATTCATCTCATTTGAACAACCTTGAATTTTGCCCAAGTGTTGTGTGCGTTTCAGGTGCACTACTTTGTACGTGTGCAACTTTTTATTGGCTTGGTCGAAATTCGACTTCAAGGGCTTGTTTTGAAGACGAAGGGTTTATCTCTCCATTGATATGATTTGAAGTGCAAGAGGAAGTTCAAAAGATTGATTTGCAGGTCGATCAAGTTGCTAGCTCAACACAGGAAAAACTGACAAAACTGTCCAAGTGTTGGAGCAAGTTTAGAAGGGCACTTTTGGAGTTTCAGTGGAGGAGATGGGATGAGAGACGAAGCTCGGGGTTTGAAGACCATGAAGGTACAAGTTTCCTTCTACGTCGACGTGGAATTGGATGATGGAATTGAGCCTTGGAAGTGCTCGAACGGATCACCCATAGATCGTCTCGAGACAGCTGTTTCTGGCGTTGGAGAAGACCAATCCAGTCCTAGTCGGAGTAGGATTTGCACACTGTGTTGATTTTAATTCATTTTTGAGTTAGATCTTGTTTTCCTTTTTGAGTTGGATCGTGACTAGGACTTTCTTTACTTGGTTTGTAAGTTAGATAGTCTATTTAAACCTAAGATTGTTATGTAATAGTTAGTTTTTTTTATCATTCAAATACAAAGTTGAGATTTGATTCATCTAGCTAGTTTGCTTGAAGAATTGAATAGGATTGCTTGGTGGATTCTAAGCAATCGTGAGCTTGTATCGATCAGTTCATCACCCTGATCGTGGCCAAGCATCGATCTATAGTTCTCGAGCCTCTTTCCCTTTGTGAGAAGTTGCACGAAACTTTCCACCCCAAAACACCCAAACGAATCTTGTTCATGAGGAAGCTTGAGTTGAAATCAAATCAATTCGAAGGTGGGCTACTTTGATCATACGAGACCCTACTAAGGGCTCATCACCACATGAATCCCAGAAACAATAATCCTTTTCCCAACTAGATTAACCAATACCTCTCCCTCTAAATACTACACAACATCAAGTAAAAAAAAACTCTCATAGCCAATCTCTTCCCCATATTTCTATTAGAGTAGAATGATACCAAGTAGAAATGAGGTTCCAAGCTAATCCGAGAGGGCTACGAAATGTGATCTAGTGGTAGGATCTGGGCCCGTTATAGATTGCAACGAAGATGGACTGGACTTTTGTTTTTGGAAAGAAAACGAGCTTTTTCAAAATTTGCAGAAGCCCTTAAAGGAGAAGAAAAGCTTCCCGCCGTTCAATCGAAACCATCGTTTTAGAAAAACCCCCAAAACCGAAAATGGAAAAGGAGCAAAAGATTGAAGGAGTCGATCCACCGGTGGTGGTGTTGTCCGATGATGAATTAGACTCTGATATTGATTTGGAACCACGACCAGGTCTCAAGTGAGTATATGCGTTAATGTCAACATTGGCTTCATATATGTACCTTCTTGTAAAAATTCTTGCCCTCCGTCGATATATAAGAATTAGGGTTTCCTTGATTATTGTATGATTGTGCGTAGGATGCCTGCTTCTTCTTCTTCTTCTTCTTTCGAGGAGGATCCAGAAGTACATACTAAGCACTCAAGAAAGCAAACTACCTGGATTGCAGAAGAAGCTCTGAAGTAATATAAGGACACCCACCAGGTTGGTTGGTTTTAGTTAATTCCCAATTATGGATGGTTCCCTTGGATTGCGTTTGAATATCATGCTCGATCTGGGCTGGGACTAATTTGATGAAATTTTGGGACTAGGTCGATGGATGAATGACGAATCAGGGTGTGGAATACGTGCTTGTGGATCCCATTCGCAGCAAGGCTATAATTGCACAATGTGGGATTTTCTGCCACTCCTTGTTCACGGCCAAGAAGGTCGGCCCCTCCTCTGCCTCCTCCTCCATGGAGAGCAGCTCTGCCACTCCTCCTAAGATGGCTGCTGTCCATAATGATGATGGCTCCTCCGTCGCCGCAGTGGAAAGCAGCCCTCCAACTCCTGCTGCCGAGGAGTTGTTCTTTGCTGAGACAACAATGTACTCTGGCCAGGTGATGAAGCTCACTGTTCATTCTTGTGTCATCATTGATCCTTCTAGACCGGGCAACTATACATCTACTCTGTGCTTAATTGGTTTGGTAGCCATGATGTTGGTTTGAGATGATGATGCCCTAGCTTTACTCTTGAACTAGCTATCTAGTTGCATTCAGGCTAAGGGTATATATTTGCTTGCTGATAGGAAGATAGAATAGATGCTTAAAGATGATGAGGAAGATTATGTTTGTTGCGTGCATGCAGTTCCTTCCAATGTAGGTTGCTTCTATTGTTCGAGGTGCACCAAGGAACCTTTCTACCATCCACCTGAGGATCAGTTAGTGTTTGGTAAGCATGATTGTGACAAAGGTCTCAAATACGAAGAGGACGATTGGACTTCTTCCTCGGACGAGTAGCCTATTGTTCCCCGTTAGTTTCTTCTTAATTGCCGAATTAGAAAAATTTAGATTGTCGATTGTATGCATTTATATATGGATCTCGTTTGTGTATGAGTTTATAACTTAAGCATAGTTGATAACCATTTCTATTATTAACCACAACACAATATCATAATAATTGACTAACAATAAGAATAATATCAAAACCTTTAAAGCACATTATTTCTACTCTACCGCTAGTCCGCTACTACTGGACAATAGATATCGGTCGTGGGCTAGATCATGGGTCAGTCTGATTCGACCCTTAATCATCTCATTACAGGAAAATTGTATTGTACATATGATATGATGTATCTTCTGAAGAAGGGACTTAGGAAGTACCTACTTGGACCGGAAAAGAAGCTCTCTAATGCTATATGATGTCTCCTTCCAAGCTAATCCGATATTATTAAGGAATTGAAAAATGCTCGGGTTGTCTATGTAGTGATAGGATCTGGGCCCGTTGCAGCGACGATGGACTGGGCTTTTTGTTTCAATATGTTTTGTATTCGGAAAAGGAAAATGGGCTCTCAAAATTTCCGAAAGCCCTAAGAACTAGCTAGACCGGCATATATAACTAGAAGAATAAGAATTCGGCCTCACCGTTCACAGCGAAGCCATAGTGTTAGAACTTAGAACCCCTAAATGGCTAAATCAGAAATGTTGAAGAAGCAAAAGATCGAAGGAGTTGATCCGGCGGTGGTGTCTGTTCAGGAGGCGGACTCGGACTCCGACTCGGCCTCCGATTTGGAACCGCGTTCCGGTGAAGAGTAAGTATATGCGTCAATGATCTTGGCTTCATACCTGCTTTGAAATATATAAGAACTAGGGTTTCCATGATTATTATGCCTAATTGAAGATTAATCTTCTCAATCTGTCGTCTGTTTTGATATGTCTCTGCACATGTGTCAAATTAAACAGACCGACAACGGCTGATGTATGGTCTAGGGCATAATCCGTTGTCGGTTCGATTATTATTCCATGTTTATAGGCTTCAGTCAGCTAGCTAGCTAGCTTACAGATTTGTTGGTGCGTAAGTAATTTGGGTGGCGGGTGTTGGGCTGTTTCTTCCAATTCTAAGTGGGTTTTGCTTGATTAATTTCCTCTTTAATTTGTCAGGTTTGGTTTCTTTATTTGCTTTGATTTCATGATGGTGATGATGATTTACATATGTATTACGTAGGATGGATTATTCCTCCTCCTCCGAGGAGGATCCAGATGTCGTTGCACAGCGTCACAAACAGCAAATTGCCTCGGTTGCGGAAGAAGCTCTGAAGCACTACAACTACAACCACCAGGTTGGTTTTAATTAATTCCTCTACTTATCTCATTAGTTAATGATTCTCATCACTTGCATTGGATTTCATGCATTGGTTGACTACTTTATTGGTTTTTTTGGCTCTGGATGGATGATCAGGGTGTAGAGTACGTGCTTGTGGATTTCATACTCATCAATGATGTTCTTATTCCTTCTGGAATGTTCACCCACTCCATGTTCACTGCTACGAATCTCGTCTCGTCCTCCTCCTCCATGGAAAGCAGCCCTCCCACTCCTAAGACGGTCGTCATCGATAATAACGATGGGTCCTCCTCCTCCTCCATGGAGAGGACTCCTCCTACTCCTAAGATGGTCATTGTCAATAATGATAGTGGCTCCTCGTCCTCGTCCTCTATCCCCATCGAAAGCACCCCTCCAACACCTCCTAAAACTGAACTGTTCTTTGCTGAGACAGCCCTATACGAGGGCCAGGGGATGAAGCTCACTGTACATTCTTGCGTCATCATAGATCCTTCTGGACCTGGTAATTGTACATACCGAGTAGTTTCTGTGCTTAATTAATTGGTTTGCTAGCTGCTGTTGGTTTGAGATGATGCACTTTACATTTAACTAACTATCTTGTTGCATTCATCGTGGGGTGTATGTGAACTTGCTGATAGATAGATAGATAGATGCTTAAAGGTGATGATTTTGTTGCATGCATGCAGTTCCCCCCAAAATTGGTTGCCACTATTGTTCGACGTTCACCAAGCAACCTTTCTACCATCCTCCCGAGGAGCAGTTGGAGTTTGGTAAGCGTAATTGTAAGAAAGGTCTCAACTGCCACGATGACATATTGACCTCCTCAGACGAAGAATATGACGTGCCCTGTTTGGTTCCTCCTCATCTTCGAAGTAGAAAAATTTAGAATTGTGATTGTGCATATTTATATGTATCACGTTGTTTTTGTTTATGCATTTATAACTTCAGTGTAGTTGTTGTAGTAGTACTAATAACGGTTTATAACTTAAGCATAGTTGTAGTAGTAGTTTAATTAATGCGGAGACAAGACATACGTGTGATGGTTTTCAAGCTAGCTAGCCGCAAAGCAAGTCACTCTTTTGCGCCATATATGATACTTTTGAGCTTGTTATCAAAAGATAAAAGGCAGAAAAACCAGGGGTGCAGTAGTCCCCTATATATTGTAGACATGGCGTCTCTGTGTGTGGCTAGTTTTTTCTTTTATACCTTTTTGAGCATTTGATAATGGCATCTCTTCGTTCTGCTTCTTGCTGCTTTGTTTTCCTGTTTTATGTTGAGAGGTTGGAGTATATAGGGCCAGTAATTCAATGAACTGGTACAAGTTAATAAGGAAGTTTAACTGGGGATATGCTGACGGTCTGAACCAATGGGCCAAGCCGTCTACTCCAACGTGCATGCCGTTGAGAATTAGTATGGAAACTACAAGTATTTGCGCCCGTTGAGATATTTACTGAGAATTTCCCAGTGAAGAGATTTTAGTGGAATAAGCAAGGAAGCTCATAGCCTGTTTCTCGAATGATAAAACTGATTGTTGATTGCTTGATATGCCCAGTTAGGAACACCATAATCTGCTCGATAACAACTGATATGGCTGCTACATGTTCGACCAAGTGCTCAACTAAATCTGGTAGATTTGACTGGCGGCGGCAATGAGCATTGGTGTGTGTTGAAAATTATTAATGTGACGGGGATTACTTAGTCCTTCTAATTTTCGATTATGTCCATTTCAAGTGTCATTTCATTCTAATTTGGTAGATGATTGAGGTTTGCTCCTGTCTGCAATCTGCGACGACTTGGAAGGATTATTGCGCTCGGTTATGTTTTTGGTTAGTCAGGGCCTTTGGGTGCTAAGCTCGCATTCGCTTGATTTCATGTATTTTACTTGAAGCAGCATGTAGAATGTACTCACACTTTTTACATTTTTGTAAGAGTGATTCTCTTCTGGCATAGCAAATTGGCGACTTTGGATCCCCTTTTGAGTTTTCAACTTCAGATTTGTGCAGCAGCAGGTTCAGGTATAATCAGTAGCAGCTTTTTAGATAGTAGGGTGGCATTTTGTTACAGTGTGCTCTATACGCCTCTCAAAGTTTCAATTATTACAAAAGCCAGACTCAGAAGTAAAGGAGTCATAGCCACCCTCACTAAGCGTATTTCAGCAATCAAAATGAGAAGAAAAGCATCCACCCGAGGTCTGTTACCAATTTAGTTGCCCTCTCGAGGACTGACTTCGAAACAACCCGAGGGTCAGGTTGATGCTTGTGTTGGCTGCTTGCTGATCGGAGGCACAGAACCAAACAAAAATATGAAACGCTGGAGAAGCACCACGCACACAATTCACAGGAGCTTGCTACCAGGGATTGGAAGCTGAAGGAACTTTGTGATGAGTTATCTAACCTTCGGTAAATCTACCGAACTCAAGAACACAAGATCATCCTTTGAAGCAGGGCCGGTAACTATTATTTCCAGGACTCTGACTGATAGTATCCACGAGCTGAAGCGCAGTTCCTAAGCCCTCAAGGAGAATCTGCAGCTGCACGCCTCAGCTGCTCATCAACATCGATAAGCATGGCCAACCCATCTTCGATTGTGACTCTAGTTGCAAGCATGGGTTTCTCCTCGAGAGGCGCGTTGGAGATGTGTTCACTGTTGTTGGTGGAAACAGTGACTGCTTGGAGGAGAGGCCGGAGCTCGAGAGACGAGCTTGATGGTATTAATCGTTGACATAAGCTCCGTTATCCTGAGCAGCTGCATGCAGTCGAATGAGCCATGGATGGTTGAACTGAAGAGTGCAACCGATCTTCAGGTCACAACGACTGCGTAGACATGAGCCCATTCTGATGATGAGACAAATTGTTGTTGCAAGAGGCTCTGCAGAAGACTAGAATGTATACCAGCCAAATGGAAGTTGGGGTTAGGAAAGAGGAAGAGACATGTTTGGAGCAGATTATGAGAACTCCAACCCGCCTGAAGGAGAAGGAACGCTATGGTACTGTTGTACAGGGCAGGCTATTCGATTCTGCCACCGGGCGGCTAAAGAAGTACATTTGATTTTGGAAAAAAGAGCCGGTTCACTTGAGAAATGCTGGTGGTGGTGTTGTAGATGATAGGAAGAAGTTCTGTGTAAATGTTTAGATTCTGGGAAATGAATAGATGGCTGTGATGTCCACTACAAGACCTCCCTTTGTGGAGGCATCAGAGACTAAGTGTGAAAAAACCTCACGATATACTCTGGTTCTCTGTAGTAAGGGCGGAAGAAATCAAAAGAAGAAACTTACCCGAATCTTGAAACTTTTGGGCTTTTGGCCAGAAACAAATGCAATCATGTAAAGGAGCTAGAAAAAAAAAAAAAAAAAAAAAGCAGTGCGGCGCCGTATTGGATAGGCGAGACTATTTGGAGAAGAAACGACTTCCATACAACGTGTTCAGTGTTATAGTCTGCACTCTGCAGCTGCTGTCTGCTGTTGGTCCTCTCCATTCTGCTGCACACAGCTTCCACTTCTCGATTGAGATCGATGGAGCTTTCCATCTTCAAAAACTGATCTCACATTGGGGGCCGCCAACTGATCCGCGAACCGGACTGACCTAAAGCAAATACACATCATTCCTAGGTCAAGAGAAGAAAACCCGCGGGAAAGGAGAGGAAAGACTGCAGAGATGGAAATCAGTACCAGGAGCTTCCCGTAACTCTCAGCCGCAACCGCACCATAAACGAAAACCACAAATCAGTGAGCTCCGAGTTCCGCCGATATCCTCCTCAAACCCTAGAATTCCCCTCTCACTCGATCGAAGAAGAAAATGACGGGGAAAAGGAATGCGGAGGAGAAGCCGAAGCCGGTGCCGCAAGAGGAAGTAACTAGGAGAGGAGCCAAGGTTGGCGGTGACAGCGCCATCGCTGACCATTCTGTTCTGTCACCCGTCAGAACAAACAAGGATAGTAAGTGTTTGTTTGGGCTTTCTATTAACTGGAGCTTGTTAACGAGATGCATATATTAATTAGTAGTATTATAGCGGGTTTACCGAGCGTAATTAGTGGGAAATGCGGTTGTTTGTGTGTTGGTTATTTGTTTATATGGTCTGTAATAGTTATCTTCTTTTCTCCCGTTTTTCTCTCCAGACACTTGCTTCTACCGCGCTCTCTGCGACTGTTTGGACGCAAGGGCCAGAATTGCTGGGTGGAAAGCCGGGTGGACATCCATTCACCACTCGATTCTCAGCGAAAAGGCTTCGACAAATGGAAGGGAACTGGATTCAGGAAGCTAAAGACACGCGGGCTTCAGCTCTAAAGCATTTCTTGGACAGCCGAGCTCCACTCCCGCTAGCTGATAGCGTGTACCCAGTCCAATTCTTCCTGTCAAAGTATAGGAAGTGTAAAATCGAGAATGATGAAGATCTCAGGTTGTTGAAGCTGTCAATTCAGAACAAAGGCCCTGTCATTGGTGTTATAGAATTGAAGTTGGACTATACCTTTCCTGACACAATTGTTCGAGGCATAGGACGTCCACTCGAGGCTGAAGATGTTGCTCGCCTTGGCCTTCAGCCAGTCCCCGACCCCTATGAAACAGCTTCTGATGAGGAGAAAGGGAATGGGGAAGAGCAGGAGCAAGAGGGAGAGGAAAAGAAAAGGAAACCACACCCAAAGCCGCACCATGATGCCTCAAAAGTTCCGACCAGCCTTCATGCTTTGTGTCTCATGGGGTACAAGAAAATTGATGGCAGGGAGTGCTTCCTTGCCCAAGACAATCAGGGGACAAGCTTCGGCGATGAAGGATTCAAGATAATAGACTTGGAGGCGCTCAAGTATGTTATGACTACGAAACTAGCTTGGGTAAGCACGGTTTGTTAATTTTGCTGTCATATTCATATAAATTTTGGAGGATGATATATACAAATATGTATATCTCTTTTTGCTGCAGGCACCTAAAGAGTAGAATATTGATTAGTTGGTCGCTAAACTGGTACGTGGTTTACTTTGAATGACTCATAACAGCTTCTTGTGAACAATATCCTTCCCTAAACTGAAATACTTCAGCCTTCAGTTTATATCCACATAACAGCTAGTTTAATCAGCAACATTATTGGCTAAGAAACTCACTTCAAGTTTTGCTTCTTTGTCTTTCAAAGCTGCCCAAGTAAATATGATTGCTCTTCCCATGCATAACAGCTAGTTTAATCAGCAACATTATTGGCTAAGAATCTTACTTCAAGTCACATATTGTTCTCATGTTGCTTCTTTGTCAGATACTACAACTTCTTCATCTGCTTTAGACCCACATAACTCATCTTCACATTTAACTACATTAGTCCCCTTCAACTTTACTATATCCATTCTTTTGTGAACTGACTACTAGAGCTGACAAGGTTAGACCAACTGCTACGACTTTTGTTGGACCTTCAATTGCTTCAATCTTATTTTGTTAATATAAATCACATACTTCATCTTGACAACCTTCCCATAACACTTTGGCTGAAACTTTTGAATCCCTTGCATGTTACTCATGTTTCCCATATGATGTTACCACATTTGTTGTGGTGACTTGTGCTTGTGAATCTGTCTCTAGTGCTTCCTGGTTGGGAATGTTTCCATCCATTTCAACTTCTTGCTCGTCTCCTACTTGTTCAATACAAGGCATTAACCTTACATCTTCTGTTATGCAGTTGTATTAGTTCTGATATTGCCTTGTTTCTCCATTTGCAGGGCAGGCACGGATTTAGGTAGAGAAGTGGGGGACTAGGAATTGGTGGGAACAGAGCTACTTGGTGTAGTGTTTTGGGGATGTAGAAACCATAGTATTAACTCTTTGTTATTGAGTTCCCACTTTTACCACATATATACATATGCTAACAAAAGTATGGCGGTGCATATTGGGTTCTGATTAGAAAATTTTGTCGTGGGAAGGATATAGAAAGAGCTGTAACGATTAAGAACACAACAGATGCTACTTACTGCTCATTTGTTTCCCCTGAAATGAAACAAGGGATAGTAAACTTTGATTAGTATGTCCATTTTCTCGTGCTTAAATGTGTTTTTGTGTGACTGATCAAATCCCTAAAGCAGTGTTATAAAAAAAAAATCCCAAAAGCAGTAATCTCTCTCGGACAACGAGCCTGCTGTGCCCCGTTATGAGTTAATAATCGTCGAAGTAGAAAGATTTAGATTTTTTATTATATATATCAATATGTACCTCGTTCGTGTATGAGTTAATAACTTAAGCATAGTTGATAACCATTCCAATTATTAACTGCGAAA